GTTCCACATTGTTCTCCCTCTCTATCAAGGATATCCTACATAGATCCCCTTCCAAGTGGTTGACAGTGGTAGCCAGGCACCATCTAGTTCTTCAGGTCTCATAGTCGAAAGGATGCAGATCACATGGTGTACCACTCACTAGGACTAATTGTTTCTGTGAATTTTTGGTTTTCTTCATTCTTCTTTGCTCTGGACAAGGAGAGACTCATCATTGCACCTAAATGACAGCTTGCAAGCTTTTAAGATCCCAGTCGCCACTCACCAAAAAGGGAGGTGGAACAATGTTTTGTGTAGTATGTTATGCCACTTCAGCTTGATGTCCCCTGCGACTATGGTCCTGAGCCCACAGGCTCAACTACTCGGTCCCTCTGGGTACCTGGCTATGACCAAGAAGTGACTACAGCCTTGTCCCTTGTCAGCTCCTCTATACACCTGGGAATTCAGATCATATAAATAAACTTCTAGGACCATTGTCTGCCAACCCTATACATGGTCTTGGGTACACTCCCCTCTTCATAGACATACCTACTAGTTGAGCCTGTCCACCCATCTATCCACCCATATACCCATGTTTGCCTTCACTGACAATGCAGTACTCTATGTGCAAAAGGGTTCATCTTTGTTGTCTGTACCTCCCATGTACCTCTCTATGTCTTTCTTTTCCTCAGTGCCACCATATTGATCACTCACATTTGGTACATTGCCCTTCTCTTCACCCCAATCAATACTTATCTCTACCTATCTAACTGTGTTCCCTCCCCTCCCCTCCCACCCCTGGTAACCAACAAAGAAAATTTCCTTCCATAGATAAACCTTTCCTTGATTTTTACAATAACAGACTAATACAATATTTGTCCTTTTGTGATTGACTTATTTCACTCAGCATAATCTCCTCCAAGTTCATCCATGTTATGCAGTGTTTTGTAGATTCTACATTCTTTAGCATTGCATAGTATCCCATTGTGTTTATGTACCATAGTTTAGTTATGCATTCCTCAGTTGATGGACACCTAGGTTGTTTCCATCTTTTAGCTATTGTAAATAGTCCTGTGATGAACATGGGTGTGCATATGTCTGTTCTTCTCATGGCTCTCATTTTCTTAGTATATATACCTAGTAATGGAATGGCTGGGTCAAATGGTATTTCTAATTCCAACTTTTGAAGGAATAGCCATACCGCTTTCCATAGTGGTTGTACCATTTTACAGTCCTACCAGCAGTGTATGAGAGTCCCAGTCTCTCCACATCCTTGCCAGCATTTGTTATTTTCTGTCTTGTTGAACTTTGCTATCAGTGCTGGAGCAAGATGGTATCTCATTGTAGTTTTGATTTGCATCTCTCTAATAGCTAATGATCGTGAGCATTTCTTCATATGTTTGTTGGCTGCCTGAATATCCTCCTTGGTGACGTGTCTATTCATGTCTTCAGCCCATTTTTTTAATTGGCTTGTTTATCTTTTTGTTATTGAGGTGTTGGAATTTTCTATAATTTCTAGAGATAAGTCCCTTGTCAGATATATCATTGCCAAATATTTTTTCCCAATCTGTAGATTTTCTTTTGACTCTTTTGGAGAAGTCTTTGGAAGCACATAAAAATTTAATTTTTAGAAGGTCCCAATCATCTTTTTCTCTTCTTCTGTTTGTGCATTTTGAGTTATGCTTGATTTATGCCATATATTGTTGTTGTTGTTATGTACCGTCGAGTCACATCTGACTCATAGTGACCCCTCCTTGGGTTTCCGAGGCAGTATCATTACGGGAGTAGGTTGCCCCATCTTTCTTCCGAGGAGTGGCTGGTGGGTTTGAACCGCCAGCCTTCTGGTTAGCAGTCAAGTGCCTTAGCCACTATGCTACCAGAGCTC